CTAGTACGCTAGCACTCCAATGCTAGGCTAACGCTGTCCGAGCCATAACTTCGTAATGGCAGAACTTTTCGCGAGGCAACTTGGCTTATCTTAAAGCTCTTAGAGTGAGCTTCGATATAGAAAATTCTCAGCTTAATCCGATCGACGGTCTGCACGATACGCTGCGCGACGTTCAAGGTACTCTTGCTGTTTTGACTAAGTCCCTCTTGATCTCTCTCTCTACAAACTCGGACCCGAGGATAGGGGCTGGTCTTGTACCAGGCACCCAAGGACCCTTGGAGGTGACCCCGAGGAGAGGTTTTAAGTGTGATAAAGTCTTAATAGCTTGAGTTTATTAGGCCCTTACACCAACAAAGGCCAACCTCATCTCCCTCCGTAAGCTTGGCAAGGCTGGGGTGAACACCAACACGGATGGGGCTCGCACTTATAAGGGGAAGCTGGGCAATCGGGTGCTTTGGGATCTGCACGAGAGCAAGGACGTGTACAGATCTATGTGGCAGCTGCCGGCGCTGGCGTGGCACGGTGGGGGGCAGGCTGGAGAGGGGTCTGCATCCCAGGGGGAGTGCAACGCCGTTGGAGGGGTTGGTGTGAAAGTGTCGGCCAGATCTGGGGAGACAGATTGGGCAACTGCACACCGACGTTTGGGGCATGTGGCAATGCCTTTGCTGAAGCAGCTGGAGAAGGATGGAGCCGTTAAGGGCTTAAAGCTGAACGGACAACCACCCGATGATAACTGTGAAATTTGCCTCCTTTCAAAGTTCACCCGTTTCCCCTTCCATAGTGTGGCTGGCAGGAGCAAAAAGCCGTTGGAGCTGGTCCACATGGACTTGGTGGGGCCGCTGCCGGTTCAGGGACACAAGGGGGAGCGGTACTTCCTGACTATTGTGGATGATTGGAGCAGGCTTATGTGGGCATATCCGCTGAAGCAGAAGGACCATGCCGCCTCTACGATACGGGAAGATTGGCTGCCATTCGTGGAGAAGCAAGCGGAGTGTGTGGTGAAGCGGATTAGGACAGATCGGGGTGGTGAGTTCCTTGGAGCTGAGATGACGGCCTGGCTCAAGAAGCAGGGCATCCAGAGGGAGCTGACCACGGCTTACACCCCACAGTCTAACGGTGTAGCAGAACGGGCGAACCGGACAATTCTGGAGACAGCTAGGGCGCTGCTCATAGAATCTGGGCTGGGCAACTCCATGTGGCCCCATGCTGTTCGGCACGCTACCGTCGCTAGGAACAGGGTACTCACAAAGGTTGGGGATGACTCGTGGGTGCCGTTGGAAAGGTGGCTTGGGAGGAAGCCGCCGGTGGACATGCTGAGGGTGTTCGGTTGCATGGCAGTCGCCCACGTCCCCAAGACCTACCGCAGTAAGTTGGGGGCGAGTGCAATCTGGTGTGTGCATTTGGGGCTGGCTGCTGAGAGCAAGGGATGGCTGCTGTGGGAACCCTCCAAGGGTGTGTTATTTGACAGCAGGGATGTGAAGTTTGTTGAGGGCATGATGTATGGGAGCTGGGAGAAACAGCCGGAGGCCAGGGTGTCCCAGCAGATGGAGCAGATTACCATGCAGCTGGACCTGACTCCTAGTGTGTGGGAGGAGGGAGAGGAGGCAGCTGCAGAGGGTGGTGATAAAGAGAAGGTGCAGGAGGCACCTGCTGGTGGAGGTGATGGTGTGGAGATTAGCGGTAGCACTAGTGGAGCTGCTGGATCCGAGGGAGGAGAGCAGCAGCAGGGGAAAACTAAGAAGCCGAAGGGTGTTATTATGAAGGGATGGGAGACACCCGTCTCCAGGCCAGGACGTACCCGTATGGCTACTAAGAAGCTGACTGCAGGAGCTGATGTAGCGGAGCAGCAGCTTGGGACCGAGGAGGCATTGCTGATTCTACCGCATGGCTATGACCCGGATGAGGAGGATCAACCTGCGTACTGTTTTCTTGCCCCTGCACCAGAGGAACCAGCTAGCATGGAGGAGGCATTAGCTGGACCAGATAGGGACAAATGGCTAGCTTCCAGGGATGCTGAATACCAGAGCCTGCTGGAGAATGGGACTTGGGAACTAGTGGTGCTGCCTGAGGGAAAGAAAGCGGTACAATGCAAGTGGGTGCTAAGGATCAAGACTGACGACAAGGGGCAGGTCACCATCTACAAGAGTAGGTTGGTGGCTAAGGGGTTTATGCAGAAGGAGAAGCGGGACTTCAATGAGATCTTTGCTCCCACTGCCAAACCCCCTACCCTTCGTGTCTTGTTGGCAGATGCAGCCGTTGGTGGGAAGTTCATTATCCAGATGGATATATCAACGGCATTCCTCAATGGGATTTTAGAGGAGGAGGTGTTCATGACGCAGCCACCTGGGTATGAGGATGGTACGGGCAGGGTGTGCAAGCTGAAAAAGTCCATCTACGGCTTGAAGCAGGCGCCACGCTGCTGGTACCAGAAGTTGGCAGCTGTTTTAGAGGAGATGGGATTCAGGACCAGCAGCTGTGATGAGAGCCTCTTTCTCAAGGGGGAGGGGGAGAAGCTGGTGCTGTTTCTGGTCTATGTGGACGACATTCTTCTCTTTAGCAGCAGCATGAAGGAGATCCAGAAGGTGCAGCAGCAGCTGATGGAGAACTTCAAGTGCAAGAACCTTGGGGAGGTAAAGTACTACCTCGGGATGCACGTAGAGAGGGATCCAGATCACAGGTGGTTGAAACTGCACCAGGAGAAGTTCATCAAGGAGCTTGGGGAGAAGTATGGAATTGAGAATGAGCGCAAGGTTGCAACTCCCCTGCCAGCAGAATTCAAGCTTGTGAAAGCTGCAGAGGATGAAGGAGTTGAAGCCGAGGAGCAGCAGCAATTTCAGTCCTTGGTGGGCAGCCTCTTGTATGCAGCAGTTCACACGAGACCCGACATCTCTTTCTCGGTTGGGCAGCTGGCTAGGGTAGTGCAGAATCCATCAGAGGAGCAGGTGGATGCAGCTGAGCGTGTGGTGAAGTATCTGAACTCTCACCCAAGCATTGGAGTTCAATACTCCGCATCTGCACAGGTGAAGCAGAAAGGGGTTGAGGTGCTGAAAGAGAAGGGGGAGAGGCTTGGAGAAGGCAAGCTTTTTCTCACTTGCTTTACTGATGCTACGTGGGCCTCTGAGAAGGAGGATTCCTCATCTGTGGGAGGATACATCTGCGTAGTTGGGGGAGGACCGGTTAGTTGGAGGTCAAAGAAGCAGACGGAGACAGCACTCTCTTCCGTGGAGTCAGAGTACATGGCGATGTTCCATGGGGTGAAGGAGGTGATTTGGCTGAGGAGGTTGTTAGAGGAGATTGGCCAGGAGCAGAAGGTTGCTACGCCGCTGTTTTGTGATAGCAAGGGGGCTCTTGGGATGGCCAGGAACGCTGTGCTTCATGGGCTGAACAAGCACATGCGTATCAAGTGGCACTGGCTGCGTAAGGAGGTGAAGAGGGGGACGGTGAATCCGATCTACATCAAGACTCACCAGCAGCCAGCGGACTTCCTCACCAAGAGGCTTGCGGATGAGTCTCATTGGCGTTGTGTGCGCATGAGTGGAATGAGCATGAACTAGTATGGAATGATGGGGATGCAGCCGGCAGGCTGAGGGGGAGTGTGTTGGGTGCAAATTCACATTGCACGACATCCTGCCGTCTGTTTGTACGAGTATGCGTGTGCGAATGCATTTGCGTGTGAATGGTATGTTTGTGTGTTTGTTTGCTTTCGCAATTTTCGCTTGAAGCATTTGCAGGTACTCGCAAAATGTGCGCTTCGGCATAACATTGTACGCGCTATGAACAGTACAAGCAGAAAGGACGAGCTCGCAAAGGAACCCAAGATGGAAGCTTTGCGGTTCAACTTACTTGATTGCGCAGATTCAGTTCTATCCAACTCGAAATTGTACTGTTTTGTTTGGTTGACTATAGTGTAGCAGGGCAGGCACTATAGGGGTACAATTTAGGTGAAGGTTGGATGTTGTTTGTCTGTATCTGCATGCTACAGGGCCAGGGGAAACCAGCGGAACCAGCATTTGGCTGGTTGGGCAAAGACAAAACAGGTTCTGTTTTTAGGACCTGAACCTGGTTGTTGTTTTCCCAGGTTGGAAAAACAGAACCAGAGGTTGTTCACCAACCTATCACCTGCTATTTTGTCCAGCCATGTTGGTTCTGTTGCTTGGAATTATTTGGGATCATCCCTGGTTGTTCCCAGGTTGATTCCCAAGGTCCTTGCTAGCTAGAGCTATTTATTCCTTCTCTGTTTGTACCTGAATATAGTGAAATTGATTCAAGCAAATTCCTTCCTTGCTGGAATTTCTTGTCTACGCGGTGCGACGGCGGAATGCTACCCGAGTCAACGCTAGTACGCTAGCACTCCAACGCTAGGCTAACGCTGTCCGAGCCATAACTTCGTAATGGCAGAACTTTTCGCGAGGCAACTTGGCTTATTTTAAAGCTCTTAGAGTGAGCTTCGATATAGGAAATTCTCAGCTTAATCCGATCGACGGTCTGCACGATACGCTGCGCGACGTTCAAGGTACTCTTGCTGTTTTGACTAAGTCCCTCTTGATTCCTCTCTCTACAAACTCGGACCCGAGGATAGGGGCTGGTCTTGTACCAGGCACCCAAGGACCCTTGGAGGTGACCCCGAGGAGAGGTTTTAAGTGTGATAAAGTCTTAATAGCTTGAGTTTATTAGGCCCTTACACCAACACGGATGAGGACCTGGAGGGTCTCGTGAGCAGGTGGGTCGAGGCGGCCGACGGAGGAGAGAAGGGTGGGGAGGCCGCGGTCGATATTTATAGCGGCGGAGAGAGCGCGGACGAGCAAGACGGAGACACCGTGATCGTGGAAGGTGGCACAACGGGAGGACATGGTGACACCGCCCCTAAGCGCAAGGGCTGCGGCATCCGCGCTCCACCCAGGGGCGGGCCCGGATTGGTTTCTGAACCCCATCTGGGGGGGAAGAAGCGATGGCTCGGACACGGCGACCGCGAAGACCTGCAGTACAAGACCGCGATCGCGATGTATCCCTACGACGAGAAGGTCGACCCCGGGCTGAACCTGAGCCAGAAGCAGATCCGAGAATGGGCCGCGGACCTGTCCATCGCCGAGGGGTTACATACGGGCCTCTTAATCATCATGCACTACCGCAACCTCGTGGCAAGCAAGGACAGGTGAGCTGTGCCAATCCACCATCATCTAGTGCGTTCATACGATATCACATGGATCGCTCCCGCGTAGTCAGTCGGTTTGGTATGTTATCATGTTCTGGCCGCTCCAACCCACTGCGTGGCAGGTGGCACCGCATGTTCGATTCCTATCGCGGGCTTACCAAGCCCGGAATGCACACCACCAACGTGATTGCATGGGCCGCGGTGGTAGGCAAGGAGGCTGCAGCAGAAGAAGCGGATCTCGGCGACGTGGAGCCGACGGACTACGCGGGAGCGATCGCATGCGCCATTGCAATGGTGTGGGAGGTCACTCGCGGTTCTAACGTCACTGCCGCGGCGGATAATGGAAACCTGGCCGCGCGTGCAGCTGGTTGCTATGGAAAGCGAAGCAGTCTCTTCCCCGTAGTATCCGCGTACGTCATCAATGCGGTGCGGAAGCGCAATAGCCGCGAGGAAGATGAGCCACAGGTTATCGCGGACCCGAAGGCGGTCGCCGCCGCGATCGTTTCCGGAGTCGTGAACGAGGTCATTGCAAAGTCTCGCGATCTCAGGCACATCGAGTTGGCCGCCCGCGAAACGGTGGACGTTATCATCACCTGGTGCGACTGCTCGGTGGCAGGGAAGCAGATGGAGTCCTTGGGTTCGTACCTTGCCCTGCCAAAGGATCGTCTGAAGAAGCGCACTTGAGTGCGTGTAGTATCGCGTAGCATGCACAGCCTGTCCGCCATGCTTGAGTTCTACTCGCGGTGGATTGTGCTGGTGCCTGTAGTAAATTGTGTGTGTGTGTGTGTGTGTGTGGGTGTGTGTGTGTCTGTGTATGTGTGCGTGTGCGCTTGAGAACCTAGTGTTGACATTTGGAACAATACGTGAAGGTTTGTAGGATTCAGTGGGTGCGTGTTTTTGCGCGTGCCATTTTAGCAGTAATCTGCATTCGTCTCAGGTATTCCCACGCATTATCATTGTACACACTACGACGCGAACAATCTATGTACATTAGGCAACAGCAGCCCGCGATTAGCACGGCCGCGATGTAAATCAGCACTATCTGAAAGCGAAACAACAACAGCCCGCGATCAACACGGCCGCGATGTAAATCAGCATAATCTTCGCGTAAACAACAACACTCGCGGTCGATTGTAGGGACCCATAACATCGCACCCGAAGACGGTGATATCAAGACGAACAACAGCGGGGTCAATCCATTTACTGCAAGTCTGGCATGAGCGCACAGTACTGGGGCCACGCGACCGTGAACTCAGAAGCGGGAAGAGAGGCATTGATGAGACGGTCGCGAACAAGCATCCATTTCACACGCAACTGCACCTCCACTGGAGAGCCCTTCTTGAGCTGGCTCAGTTCCATGTCAACACTCTTCTTCTTTACCGCGATCCCTTCCGATACACCCGACATGCCCACAGCACCTGACATGAGGTCAAGCTTGTCGAGCACTACCGCGATGTCGTCTCCTTGCTCCACCCTGTGGGCGATGAAGTTCATGATTCGCTTAACACGGTTTATCGCGTTCTGGCCGCCTCCCTCCTCCCCAATGAGCGCGGCCATTCGCGAAACTGCGCCGCGGGGTTGGGCCGGAAGCGACTCTGGACTCTCGAGGATCAGCGGGTGCGTTGTCTTGTACAGCTTCCATCCGTCTGACGGTTTGGTGGCGTTGACCCATGGAAGGACGATCGCGTCCCGAATCGTCTGTTCCCTGGTGGGCGCTGCGGGTTTCTTCTGCGTTTCCTGCTCGGTGGGACCTGAGGCATTGGTCGACGCGGCCGCGGCTCCAGGAGTGGTTGCCTGGTTCGGAACCGCGGTCGGCCTTGAGCTGCTCACGGTGAGCCGCGACAGCTGGGCTTCCAAATCATTCACGCGCTCGTCCTTCTCGGCCAGTTTCCGATCGCGATCCTCCAGCAGCCCCTCCAGCTCTTTCACCCGTTTATGAGGCGCGACCAACTCCAGGCCCAGTCTTGTGTTGTCCGCTTGTGAACGAGTCAGGTACTCAGTGAGGACGGTCACTTGGTTCTGCGCGTCCATTCTGGTACTCACCTCCTGCATGGACAGAAAGCGACCGCGAACTTGTTATGGTTTGGCATTGACATCACGGAAGAAATATAACGCGACCATTCAGTACTTACTGCGGGCTGGGTCAGTGTAGGTGTGTTGCGTTGTACTATGGCGAGTTGATTTGCCAATGAGACATCTGCAGCCCACGACGCAAATTCCTCCGTCTGGCAGAGCGGGTTGTTGACCACGTACGGGTGTTACGGCTGGTGGATGTAATACATCGCCAGGTCTTAAAACGACCGCCATCCTAACGTCCCCATCCAGCTCCTTCAGTATGTTTAGCCCCGCGGTGTCCTGCTTCTCCGGCTTCTGCGTTTCCACCATCCTGCGGTTGTAATCCTTGCACTGTGACAATAAAACAACAAGGCAGTGAACGCTGTGCCAGGGTGGTATGTGCGATGCTTGCGGTCGCGTATGCGCGGACCACACATACCTGTTGCTGTCCTTTGTCCGTGGCGGCCCATGGGAAAATGTGCTTCCTCAGTAGCTCATCCAGCTGATCGTTGACCGGAACAGTTGCGCGACCCAGGAAGTAGTCACCGTCAACCCCGGTGAAGCCCGCCTTCAGCAGCACGGCCTCCCTTGGAATGGTTGTGAGGTAGTGCTTAGTCATCACGTCGATGAAGCGCCAACCCCCCAGCCTCGCCAGCTGTTCCGAAGGCATTCCGTCCGCGGACGCTTGCTGCGCCCCCCCAGCCCTGGTCGCGTGAACCGCACGCGAGCATGTGATTCCCACGTCCTGGAGAATTTTCGCCGCCCAGTCGTGATGAGTCGTGGGCGGTATTTGCTTCTCGTTGCCCGCGCGAAGGGGGAAGAACAGGTATTGATCGTACCACGTGGAGGGTTCCGTGAAGTCGAGAGGGGGGGCTATGTCCTCATAGAGGATGGGAACCAAGTCGTACACCCAGTGCAGCCACAGCAGCGTCGCTCCGACCGCGCACAGCGTCCAATCTATGTGCCTCACAGCAGATATGTAGTTGAGCAAGAAGTCCTTGTTTGTCTTGCCCGTCCTGCACGCGCAAACAAACATGAACGCGTTTCTCACTGGATCGGTCTCCGATTTTGCGCCTAGCTTCCACATCATCATGTCTGGCAGCTGCAGGTTTCTGATCGTGCATCCGCGGGCCAGAGTGTGATGGCCGAGCACGGTCATCGTCCGGATGCAGAGGTCGCGATGCATTGCCTGCGTGTATGCTTTCTTGGCTAGTGTGAAGCTCGTCAAGATCGCGTCCATGCTAGTCTTCCGCATCATATGCTTGAACTCGTCCGGGGTGTACGTGTCCGCGGCCGTGCCCCGATGGCGATCCATGTGTTCCCTGCACATGGATTGGGACGATAGTGCGGGTGTTAGCGGACGCGGGATTGTCAGGCATTAAACGAGTTCACTGAGAACGTATACTTACGCGATAAACCGCTTGTATTGGTCGCGTACTTGAACGCGGACCCAGATGCGACACTCTGCAAAGTCGCGCAGCAGGTTCAGAACGGGCTTCCTGAAGATCGTCCCGTCCAGCTTGATGAGCAGGTTCAAAGCCTTGAGACGCCCCATCAGCATTGCCGGGGTGCACTGGCGCCTCTTCTTCAAGGTCTTCTGCGGCCGCTTGAGTGTGGCCATCCTGTCCGCCTGCGCGACTGTCTCGTTCGCGAGGAAGGTCACGTATTTGCGTAAGCGCCACGGATTCGTCTCAGGGCCGTGGAACCACTGCTCGTCGCCCTCCGCCATCTTCCAGTCACCACCCATGTTCTGTTCGAGCGCGACCCCAATCTCGTCGGGGTTCGCGTTTCTCAGCGCGGCCTCATCACCAAACCTACCCGCGCCCAGTTTAGGCAGCTCGTGAGCCATGAACCGCTTGTACTCGTTGGCCCAACCGCGATACTTCTTCAGCGTGGCCTCCGAGACACCGTAGAGGATTCCGTAGCACATCTCTCGTTTCGCGGCCGGCGTGTCGTCCACACCTAGCCTGTTCCAATCAGCGATAGGGACCTCAATGTCCCTCCGCGTACCCCGCACCCGTTCGTTGTCTTCCGCCTCCTCCTCGTTGAGCGCGGACAGCGAGTTCGATAGGTAGTTTTCGTCATCGTCATTCCAACTATCGTCCGCATCGTCAGCGCCGTCCTCGTCATCCTCATCGCTTGTCCCCTCGCTCCCCTCCCAGGAGCCATTGCGTGCCGTGTGCGGCACTACATCGACTCTCCGCCTCCTTATACGCGGTCTATTAACTGGCCCGTTACCGGACCCGCCGTTCGCGTTAACACCGCTACCCCTGCCGCCGTTACCTGTCACCCCATGCGCTCCCTGCCCGTTCGCACTATTCTTGTTTGCTCCCACACCTGTCGCACGTCCTGCGCTCGCTCTCCCACCCCTTCGTATCGCACCTCTCCCTCTATCCGCGTTCCCTCTCTCCCCTGTCCCTCCTCCCGCGTTCCCTCTCGCACCCGTCCCTCTTCCCCTTACCGCGTTTCCGCTTGCACCCGCTCCACGCCCCGCGTTCCCCGCGTTCGCCTGTGGTTGCCCACCTACACCAGTCGCGTACGCTACAATCGGATGCGTGGGGGTGCGGATGTGGACGTCGGGGTTTCCGGGCAACAGTGAGTTCACGTTCCATATTGGCGGCGAATGTGCACGCACGCTTGCATTCATCCCCGCTCCACCATTCACCGCATGCCCTAAACCACCGGCAACTGCGTTCGATGATGGGCCGTCTGTTCGCGCTCGTGTGTCCAAACCGACACCTAATGCTTCTCTAGGGTCTGGCAGGGCTTGCACCGCTGGCTGGCTTTCCGGATGAATCGCGCTGGGGAATTGTGTTGACGCAGCGACAGGAGGCGTCACGACAGATGCGGGTGCGTGCACCGTGGGGTTTGGTTGAACGCCGATGTACCCGTACCTGAATCCCACGTTCGAGTACTGCGGCCCTACGAAGCCACGCATAGGCATCCCAAAGAGCTGGCTACTGGGCACGGACGGTGACGCGTCCGCATTACCCGGTTGATTTTGTAACGCGACCGCCGCTGCCGCAAACGGTATTTGTGGCCGCGGTGCTAGGTGGAGCCCGTTGACCAGTTGCTGTGGGTGAAACGTGGGCGTCCGGGACCCAAAAACCACTGGCTGCCCGTATGGGGTGCTCCATGTGGGATTGAGCGCGTTCACCCCATGCACGGGAGCGGTAGGTGGTTCGGCATTATGTATTTGATGCGCGGTTGTGTTGCCCGAAGCATTGATGGAGTCGTGAAGTATTGGCGCCGCGACGCGATTCACGGTATGCATGCGACGTGCGAGATTGCACCTACTCGTATTCACCGCGTGCGTCAACATGATGCGCGGTCACTAGTTGTCCACCCGGGTGTGACTTGGACGCGTCTACCTCGCGACCGATGTGCTCGCGGACATTCGAGCGCGGCACACAACGCGACCGCAATACTGGTGTCTGGTGTATCCCAGTGGGTCGTGAGGGGGTAGAGCTTGGTGTGCAACCGGCGATCGGAAAGTGGAAACTGTGGGCGTCCTCGGCGTAATGACCGGACACTGCGTGGACGTGCTTGACACGTTACCGCGATCGCGCATCGACCAAACGAACACACAGCTGTGTGGCTCGTTCAAATTGCGGCACGTGTCAGCCGGCATGGAGCCTACCAGATCGCGCCAGCTGTAACCGAACCGGATCTCGCTGTGCGCTTAACGAACCTATGCTTGTGCGAATTTTGTTCGCGATAACTTGCGAGAGAGAACAACCAGTAGTAGCACTCCTGTGGTGTCGCGAACTCGCGGTTGCATGCGCGGGATGTCCCGCTCGTCAATGTTACCGACCAATCTCGTTCGTTTCCTGTCGAGCCGCGCATGCATCGGCGCGTAAGAACGAGGTGGGTTCTTTCGGTTTTCTGGGGGCCGCGGAGCTTTCGGTGGCAGCCTGGTGGGTTTCACTCAGACACGCAGGGCCGCGCTAGGTCCAAACCTGGTGGGATCCTGGGTGGCCGACTTCGCCCCACGCTCCCCGCGATTTCTCCGCGCCCCGTGCATCCCCAGGCGTGGGCGGGGCTTTTCCCGAGCCGCGCCGTATGAACATCCCAAAATATTCAGAGCAGGGCTCTTGCTAGGTTCTCAGGACGTCTGATTTATCAGACTGGTCCCCCGGGCATTAGACATGGTTTTGTCTGTTCCTGTTTGCCAAATCAGATGAATCCAAAAAAGTGAGTCTGAAAATCAGACCATCAGACCAAATTAGTCTGATAACGAGAGCCCTGATTGAGAGGTGCATCCATCCATAAGCCTAAGAGCGTGGAACATCCTTATGAACAAGGAGTTAGTCACTCAACTGCGTCGGTAACCACTTTTGCGATTCTCGCCGTTGAGCTTCGTAGGGGAGTGACGAAGATTGCAGTCCATCCGGGCCCTGGTGGCTTCGAACCCACCAGGGCCCCCTCCTGGTGGAAAAGGGTTCCCACCAGGGCCGCACGCGGATGCCCGGCCTGTCGCGGCCCCCAGCTGGGAATCGCACGCGAGAGGGAGTCCCCCGCCCCCTCCCAGGTCCCTAGCGAGATCCGGGCGGCGGAGCAGGCTGGCGGGGTGGTCCCGCGCCGAGCCCGGGCCACGCCAGCGCCACGCAGCGTGGTCCCAACCCCGGGCCCAGCCCTGGCTCGCGAAACCCCTCGCGAAACCCCTCGCTCTCCAATCCGAGGGCGAGGGCCGAACCCCGGCGCGCCGAGACGGATCCGGCCAATCGGAGCCGTTTCCGACTGGTCCGTCCCTCGGGAGAACCCTCGCGAAGCATTTCGCATGCGAATCCGCACGTGCGAATGGCAGTTCGGGCTGGCCGAAACGGATTCGGCCAATGGGAGCCGGTTTACGCCATCTCCGTGCTGCACGAAATGGAGCCGGCCAATCGACGTCGTTTACGAGCGTCGGAATGCTCGCAGGACCCTCACGAACAATCGAAAGATTAAATGTACGGAGCGGAGTGTACGCCATTCGAAAGATCAAACGGAAAGATCAAACAAAATAAATCTTAATGTTTACTTTATGAATCTCTCTAATGCATCGGGGAAACATTCAGTTGCGAGTTTACGTGTAATAATATAACGGAGTGTACTGTTAATTCGGGTGACCCTAATTGGTGTTGCTCGGACCTCGGCGGTCGCGACGAGGAAAATTATCTCTCCGCGGGAGTTGGCAGCCCGCTCCGAACGGGGCTCGCGGATGGTGTGCAACGTGGCGGACGTTGGATGCACAAGCGTGCATGTTGCGGAACCTCCCCGCTGGGTGAGAGGCCCGCGCAGTGCGACCGCGAGTGCCGTCTCTTGTTTCCATATCGGCCCACTCTTAGGTTCTCTGTACGGGCACCTGGTGCTCATTTTCGTTCTCCGTCTTCACATCTTGTTTTCTTCCTGCTCGCCCGTTCCACGTAGAGGTCCTCGTCGCCTAGTGCTAGCAGAGACTCTGCTTGGCCGCGTTCGCGCTTGGTAGCGTCTAGCGTAGCTCTTATTTTCTGCCGCGAGCACAGTTTCGCGAACCGTTCGTCCTAGATTCACGCGAGCACTGTGTCGCGTACGTTTCGTCCTTTGGTCGCGCTTTTGCGGTCGTACCAGTAATGAGCCGCGAAATGAAGGCGCTTAGAGCTGGGTCGAAGGAGGCCGCCTCCTGTCCGGCCATCATCTCTGTTGCGGGAGCCACGGTGGACCTCCCCCCCGAACAGTGGAGGCTGCTCGCAGAGGATAAGCATCCTCTCACGGCCCGTCTGTCCGACTTTGTCACCGGGTGAGATCCATGCGTTCCATTCCCTGACTCTTATATGCACGCGTTGTTTATGGTCGCGGTGTTTAGGCTGTTCGCGACATGTCAGCGGTAGTCACTAGTAGGCAGTGCAGGCCGCGGCATACCTCCGCTGTGCTTTTGGGTCGCGCTGTTAATGTTTGAGCTTTTCCCCGCCTTGTTTTACACCGTCCCGCACAGCGTGATTGTCCGGAGGTATCTGGAGAAGGAGGTGCATGAGCACGTCCGAATAGTGACGAGCGGTGTTGTCGCGGACATAGTCGCGGGTCGGGATGAAGCGGTCCATGCCTTTGCCGGTTTGATGGAGTGCAGCCTGGTGGTTTTCTGAATCTGGTCCGAGTGAGTTTCCATTGGGAGTGTTCACTTGTACAGGGATTGCACTAGTTTAAGTGGTTTAACGCGGTCGTCAATGGCACGTTCAGGGACCTGGTCGACAAGAAGAGCTCGAACGCGAGCATGCTAATGTGAAAAGAAAGAACGAGAATGAAATGACTATGAACGAAGTGACTACAAATAGGAAACCCTAATTGGGTTGTACCCCCTATGGGATACCCCACTATAGCCTACACAAATAAGTAAGCTATAATGTTCTGACACACCCCCATAGGCAAAGTGTGGGAGAACAAGGGGTCACAAGACCAGTCAAGCAAAGCAAAGCAAAGCTCAGGGTGGATCACAAAGTCACCACACATTCCGAGCACAAGTTCAAAGGCTAGAAGGCCAGTTCACATGCAAGAGCACATATATAGGTATACAAGAGGCTAGACAAGCAAGAGCAAGAGTATATATATGTGACAGTACAGGCAAGGTCAAGAAGTAAGCAAGTGAGGTAAGAGAGGTACAAGTCCCAACTGAGTGCAGAAGCGCTGATGATCACAAGGCGCAAGTGCCTTGGTGAAGACATCAGCGGTGTTGGCCTCAGAGGCCACGTACGCAAGCCGCAACTGTCCACGTTGCTGCAGCTCACGCGCAAAAAAGTAGCGGAGAGCAATGTGCTTTGTCCTGTGCTCCAGTCGCTGCTCTCGACACAAGGCCAGCATGGCCTTGTTGTCTACGTACAGGACTGGAGGAGAACGAGGCGGCTCTCCCAGGTCGGTAAGCAGGTAGGTGAGCCAGCGAAGCTCCTGTGCAGCCATAGCCCCGGCGTAGATCTCAGCCTCACAACTGGAGCCGAGAACAGAAGACGAGCGGGTGGCCCGCCACGAAACAGAGCCGGAACCAAGACTGAAGGTGTAACCCTGTGACGACCGCTGCGTAGCCTAGTCGTCAGCCCAAGAAGCGTCCGCGTGCCCAGTGAGGACCACTGGACTGCGCCCTCCAAGCACTAGCCCCATGCCCGACGTACTGCACAAGTAGCGCAACACCCTCTTCGCTGCAGCCATGTGCTCTGGTCGGTGTCTCCTAGGAGCAACATAGCGTGCAAGAATGCTAAGAGGGTATGCAAGGTCAGGTCGTGTGCAGGTCATCAGGTACATGAGGCAGCGGACAAGCTCTGGATACGGGCCACTTGACTCTACAGACTCATCCGAAGGCAGAGCTGAGAGCGAGTGGCGAGTAGGCAGAGGAGTGGCCTGAGGCGAGGAGTACGTGAAGCCGAAGCGCTGAAGGACCTGCTGCACCATGTGTGACTGAGTCAGGGTGATGGTGCGGCGTGCTCTGTCCCGGGTGATCTGCAAGCCAAGGTAGCTGCGCAGCTCACCCAGCTCAGTGCACGTGTGTCTCTTCTGCAGCTCGGACTTCACGTAGGCGATTCCAGCAGTGTCAGCTGTGGCAAAGACCAAGTCGTCGACGTACACGAGGATGTAGAACGGCGGCAGAGAGGTGTCGGTGCGCAGAAACAGCGACGGGTCGGCAGTAGAAGGAGCAAACCCAAGTGCCGCCAGCGTAGTCCTCAATGTGTCGTGCCACTCACGTGGCGCCTGGCAGAGACCGTAGACTGGACGCCGGAGACTCCACTGGGTACCAGGAGGGAAAGACCCAGTGAAGCCAGGAGGGCGACGCAGCCAGATCTCCTCGTGCAGGCTGCCCTGCAAGAAAGCAGTGCTGAAGTCGAGAGAGTGCAGCTCGTAGTCACGGTGAGCAGCGACGTGCAGTAGTACCCGAAGAGTGGTCATCTTCGGGGTCGGGGAGAAGGTCTGAAAGAAGTCAACTCCCTGCCGCTGACTGAAGCC